ATTTTTAGCCAATTTTAAATTTTCTTCTATAATAATATGTACAACATCGCCCTCGTTCTGCGTGTGACCACGAACTAAATATTTATCAGTAATAGAATTCATGTTAAAAGCTTCCACTGAATACAAATATGCTGTTATCATGATTCTGGAAATAAGATTAAAATTTAAAAAAAAATTATTTAAGTAGTAAGTGCAATGGTGCATTTCACGAAATACCCATTTTTTGTTTGCCCTTACAGTTATCGGAATAAAATACCAGGTCGATACCAAGCTTCAATTTTGGGAGTTCTTGAAGTTAGAGTAATACACACGTTCCAATCTCAGTCACGCCCCTGTAGCTTAAACCCTCGTCCCAGAAAAAGCAATAAGATGTATCGTTTCCAATTTCGGTAACCTAAAAAATTTACTTTGTTACCTATTATCGCCGATGATATAGGGTGTTTTAACTTACGGTGAATTTATAGCAGTTAAACCGACTTTTAAAAAAGGCGGACGTTTGTCCAGTTGAAACAGGTAATACAGATCGTACATCGCTAACGTAACTTCTTTGTTTTTAGCTCTTTCCATGTCCCTATCCTTTTCTTCTCTTTTTAATTCTTTTTCTTTTAAATGTTCATGATATTTATTTTCCAAGACTTGCTTATCGTTACCAACTGAATTTTTATACGCCTCACAAAGGTCACACTGATCTTTTCGTGGTATAAAGAATCCTATATTGTATTCTGTATTGAATATTCTCGCAAAAATATCATAGGTTGCAGGTGTTTTGGACGCAGAAGATATTTCGCTTGAATAGTGCCTATGTAATTCAGCAATGCAAAGGCCTCCGTCTATAAATTCCCTTGTACTGTCCTTCCGGACCTAATGGCTCTCCACCCTTGGGATACCATCGATATGGTCTCGTACTCACTTCACTATTTTTTCATCTGCCTTTCTATGTTTTCCTATTTTATCCTCAACGATAATTCCCATTACCTGTTGCTCTGGACGCGATAACTGTTCGCAGTTTTCTTTCAGTTATTCCAAGAGTGCCAATTAAAAAATATTTTTTTATTGATTGTAAGGTAAAAGACACAATTTGTCTTCCTAGAGGTTCTCCAGTGGTGATTTGTCTATACTTAAAATGACTTTTTTCAATACATGGACTTAAGAAATCTCGCTGCCTTTTCAATGAGGCCATCTCCCAATATTCATTGAAAGCTGAGCTCTATCATTTTCGGAAACCTTCTTGGAACATGCAAGTACACATTTTTCTCACAAGATGGACCCATCTCTTTTGCCACCATCACTTCTCCAGTTCTATACTCACAACTTTTTCCGATGTTCTTCAATCTTCTTGCTTTCACGCTTGCCCAACTATTAGTTCCGCATAATCTTTTTTTTGCCTTTTTTACTATTTGGAGAATTTTCTTCCCATTCTGTGGCCTCTAAAATGTTAGGTTGAGCAACTTTTCCAGTTTTCGAGTTTGAAGATTCTTCATCAGTTGAAGACTCATAATTGAACTCGCAACATCACAGTAAGTATTTTAGGAACCAGTTTTATTCTAAGTATTGTTGAGCCCACCTTTTCTATAACATAAATGTTAGAAATATCAAGTAACGTAGGTTCTTCTGAATCAGGATTTAAAGCTGAACATGAAGGCATTGCCTTAGTAGTTAAATCAACATGAATTTTATTTAAAAAAAGAGCAAGGTTCACTACTTTTTTCGGTTCTTGAGTTCATCTCCGAACCGCTTCTGCAACAAAGTTAAACATCAAGTTGCAGCTGAAAAGATCTTGATGACAAATATACGTAAATCGACTAATTTGTTAAAATAATTAATAGGGATTTTTTGTATGTCATTTCATAATACTACTTTATCGGTTATTAACGTGATATGACGTTCATTTGTTTTTTAGCTTATGGAAATAATTTGAGGTTTTAAATGTCAAAACACGTTATAATGTGCAAAACGTTCCTAATAAAACAATTATATATTATTTATATAAGAAATTATTAACTCTCATAAAATTAATCTGTCACCTAAGTATAAATTCTAAGAAACAATGTCAGAAAGTACATTTATGACACATTGAAAAAGACAATAATGCCGTAAAGATCAATTATGACACACAATAACATTGAAATCTAAAATAAAAATGACACAATGTACACTTACGTCGTTCTTTTTCCGAAGTCGCGCACACAGATATCCAAAATACCGTCTAATCTTGCAGTTACGTCGTTTTTATCACTGAAGCTCCACTCACAACTGAATTGTATGTCATCGGTCATTGTTATTCCAAGAGGAAGGCAGCAAACCTTAATATTCGAATAATGACATGCCATCTTGCGGCCGGGGGTTGTTATACATTTATGTCGTTTATCTGTATAGAGGTATTAATTTAAAAATTAAAGGCGATGTTCAGCCAAAATTTCACGAATTTACAGTTACGTCATTGTTTCACCGGAACGGCGATATAAGGTACATATTTTCATTTATATTGCATGTTTATTAGTATAGGTAGGTAGCACTCTTTCTTTAACAGAGCTGCTATTAAGCGCCGTTTTTTAGGTGGTGTATTTGTAGGTGGTATTGACGTAAAAATACTGAAACAGCACAAAAATGGTCTTAAAACAGTTGATCTTACTCTTTTTGACAAGGAATGTTGTTACCTAAGGTGTGACACATGTTACGTATACATCTTTGGTACGTTACAGACATTTTAACTGGTATCTCATACCATATCCGCAAGAAAAGTTTCAAACTCGGTTTACACATTCTTTGTTTTTTTTTTTCGTAGATTACCCGTGTTTAAAATTTGCACATATATTTCATAAAACCAAGAAATAATTTTTTCCTAAATGATCTGCTTTTCTACCAATATGCCCCACCTATGGGATACTTTGGAACTTTGAAGGGGCACATTGGAATATAATAAAACATTGTACATTTTGCTTAAAAAATATATAATTTAATGAGAAAATTAAAAGAAAATATCAATACTTATAGAAAAAAAAAAATAAGAATATATTAAAGAACATGTAACAGGTTTTCTGTTAAAAGCAAAAGTTCGACGAAAATTAAGAAGATCAAACTCTGAAAATCTTTAAACGATGTTTTAGGAACTTAAGTCTACTTTACATCGTTTAATAGAGCTGGCCCGTTATTTTAGAATTGTTTGGACTTAGGAGCTTTATCTCTACTTGAAAAAGTCTACAGTGTCTTTGTCTGCAATAATTGGAAAAACAAATCCGTTACATTTTTTTTTTAATTCAAACGGCATTGTTCGCCATTATCCTGAAGAATCTCTTCAACCTGCCCGACATAATACTTTTGTGACTTTTTTGTGCAATATTTAATAACTAGAAAGTCTTCTTGGAAAATGTTAGAAAGATTATTTTCAGGATTATTCAGCGCTATAAATCTATAGTCATCGTCTACAGTTTCAAGTTCGCCGATGTTGTCTGACTCTTCTTCTCTAAATTACCTATACTTCAAAATTTTTATGGACGAAATACTGCCAAAATTTTCAAAAAAGTTCGTCCAAAAATTTTCTCGAAATTTTAGAGCTTTTTTTATCTTTACATCAACTTTCTTCAGAGGTTCTCTAAACAGATACGTTTTTCCTTTGTTCTTTTTCCTTCATTCTTTTTTCGTTTTTATTCTTCGATTTTATTTTTTTCTGGAGTTTCTGTGAGTATTCTGGATTTTCCAAGTTTCCTCTTCATGTTTTCTGTGTTCAGCCTAAAGGCTTTAGGATAGGGTTTTACATTTTCAGGTGTAACAGCAGAGTTATTTAAAACCTGAGTCAAATCATCATCAGGCAGTTCTTTATTTGGTAGTTATGAAGAGACTGATGCAACTTGCTGATTTTCATCAACTATTGATGGAGGTTCATCGGTAACAGGTGAAGGTTGATCGAAAAATCATCAGGATTAAATATTTTTTTATTAAAAGAGACTAATCCGAACTTTCTGAATCCAGAACATATGTTTTCCCTGCTAGATGCTTTATTATATGCAGTTCCTGATAACTCCGCGATCTCATAAATAGAGATTCTTTTACCTGGGTTACTAAGCAGACAATTATTAAAAGCAGTTTTTAAGTAAGCTAAGGGCTGCAGACGATGTGTACAATGCGGACTATGCGGAGGAAATCTGAAATTAAATTTTAAGGACTATTATGGCTAGTATAAAATTGGAACGTTCCTATGTACCTTATTTTTTCTGTACCTACCTCATAGTACATTCTTTTAAAATATTTCCAATAAAAAAGTAAAAGGCACCTATTGATAAATTAAAACTAGATAATATTAATCTAATAAGTGTTTATTTCTTATTGAATCCGTATGAAGTTAAGAAATATGTCTTTTTCACTCAACCCATATTTTAAAGATTTTTGATTCACCGAAATGCAACTACACTATATGAGCTCGGCGTCCAACAAATAACTGAGAGCTGAGAGCTGACGGCAATATAGAAAGCACATGCGGGTAAACAGACAAGTCAGTGGCTATTTTGTTTACCATTTTTGGCGCTAGAAACTCGAACGTTCCAATGTTCCCCGTGTACCAATGTACCCCACTTTCCCATAATCACAAATTTAGTCTATTATTTTAGCAATGATATTTGAGAATAATTTATGTACTAAAGAAGAAGAAGATAATAGTCTAGAAAGTCTAGAAATCTCTTTACCTGTCAAGAAAAATCTGGACAGTTCGAGAAGGTTCTATAAAGTTAAAGCGAGCTACATAAATCAATAATCCTGACGTCAGAAGGTAGTTGGATGATAGACGTTATACGTTCATGTTATATAGTTATTGTAAAAGTTGAGTTGAAATAAATTGAGTTACCAAAAACCAGCATAACAATATACTTTTAATTCAAATGTTTTTTTTGTATTATGTTTTTACTAAGTAGGTACTAGTCCAGAACGTTTGAGGAAAAATGAGTTTTATATTTAGTATCCAACCTCCTAGAAAACTTCCTTTGAAAATAATATATTTTTTGTTCCAGATTATTATGGTTAACACTAATATTGTGTTCGTTGTCAGCTTGTGCTTACCTCATTCTCCAAATATACGGCAAGTTCCAACAAAGCCCAGTTATTGTTAGTTTCGCTACGACAGAATCGCCTATCTACACGATACCTTTTCCAGCAGTTACAATATGTCCTTTGACGAAAGCTAGTAAAGACATATTTGATTTTACAGATATTATATTAAAAATGAGAAGAAATATAAGTATCACTGAGGAAGAGTAAGTTATAAATAAAACAGTATATATATTTGGATATGTTCTGGAATGTAAAATTGTAATTTCTAGTGTCTTGTTCCGTTACTTGTTCCTATCCCGACTAAAAATCGCTATCCATGCAAAATTTGAAATTGGATAAAAACATAAAATAATAATTATTATTATTAATACACTCCTGGAGATTGTGGCGTTTCTCCTGACTCACTCTGTATATTTACATTTTATAAGACCTCATTTAAATTGAAATATGCTACTTAAAACCGTGAATGTAAAAGAATTTGACACTTAAGGAATACCCTATTTATAATAACAGTAATACATTTTTCCTACGACCACTTAGGAAAGTGACACATATCGCAGTATTTAATCTTACGGAAAGTGTCCTATATCACATGTGTGTGAATAAGAATCCATTTTCCACCCGTGTGTGAATATCTTCTTTCCATACGTCTGTCAAATATGTCAAATGCGTAATTTCTATTTTAATCTACGTTATGTCCATATTAATAGTAAAATAGATTTGATAATTAAATCGTGAATACCTATTTATTTTTTATACATATCGCCAAAATTCTTGGACCCCCTTATGTTTGTCAAAATGAGACACTATTATTAAAAGTGATGAAGTGTGTTACATAGTACATTTGTTTTGGTTATGTATCCAATACAAATTTGCTGAATTAAATTTTAACTTAACAAGAAAAAAATACAAACTAAAAATAGTGTATAATAAAATTATTTTTTGAATTTGAAATCCAGAAGAAAACCACTTTAGAGCGAAATCAAAAATTGATTAATATTCGGTGTGTCCTCCCATGTTCTGTAGTAAGGTATTAACTCGCCTGTGCATGGAAACAATAAGGGTGTTAATGTTATCGATTGGGATGTGTTCCGTTCTTCTTGGGCCGCGACTGTGAGTTCCTGGAGGGTGACAGGAGGATTAATTCTGTTTCAGATTGCTCGTCCAACGAAATCCCACATGTTGCTCAATGAGATTCATATCTGGCGAATTTGCTGGACACGGTAATCTTTGAATATTCTGAATTTCTAGTGCATTTTGTACCCTTCTCGTGCGATGGGGCCTAGCATTGTCATCTATGAAAATAAAATTGGCTCCAATTTCATTTCGGAGAGGATAAATAATGGGTTCAATAATGTTTCGAACATATCAATCGGCTGTCATAGTGTCTGGAATGGGAATAAGGTGCGTACGATGACCATGCCTTATGCCTGCCCAAAACATTACTGTTTCTGGTCGCCCTGGCCCTCTCCAAACTCTGTGTCGCTGACTATCACTAATTAAACCATATGTGGTTTCGTCCGAAAAAAGAACATTTGGCTACTAAGTTAAAAGCCAGTCTCTGTGTTCCTGTGCCCACTGTAGACGAGCAGCTATATGTCTGGGAAGTAACCTGGGTACTCTTAATGGTCTCCTAGATCGTAAATTGGCTCCAGCAAGTCTCCGCCGTATTGTGGTAATGGAAATTAATCGACCATACGTTCTTCTAAAATGAGTTCGGACAGCTGAGACTGTTACGGTTCGATTCCGACGTACATAATCTGCTACATACCGATCTTCTCTTGGATTAGTTACCCTAGGACGCACAGTCCCACGTCTCCAGTCAATGCTGTTAGTTTCCTGGTACAAACGCAATATTCGGAAAACTGAAGCGCGGGGAATCCCTATAGTCTATCAGCGATTCGATGTTTCGGCAGACCCTCATCATGCAAAGCCACTATTCTTGCTCTATTGAACACTGAAATTCTAATGCCAGGCATAGCTGCAAAGAAAAACTCAACAATCACTTAAACACGCAAAATCGATATGAACCACTTTTTAAACATTGGTACCAAAAATTGTGGGAAATTGTTTTTGTAAACATTTTTAGATGCGTATCAACGGTGAAATAAATAAAGATTAAATGTACAAAAAAGCAGCCATGATAAATATTTCGTTTTAATATTTACGAGGGGGGTCCAAGAATTTTGGCGATGTGTTAATATTTATTTTATTAAGTTATATTTTAAAGTAAAATTATTTTTAGATTTTGTTTTTAATATATTTGATTACATTCATGTGAAAAGCTTTTTAGTTCAGTTTACAGAGCGCTCAACTTTATTACCCAGCTAGCACAAAAACATCCCATCTACGTTAATAAGCTGCAATTTTAGGCTCTTTAAGCTCGCATGCAATGTACCGTAAACGTAACCCTATTATCCCTGCAACTACCGAATGTCCGCAACTGCAAGACTTTTATAGCACATCTCGTAGAAGTTATAAAGTGAAGTTCGGAAAACATCACACTAGCACTTTTACGGTACTTACCCCGAAAGTTGCTCTGAAACGTTCTATTGATGTTATAATGTGAATTAGATCTACAGCATTATACAGTGTGTCCACGGATGGGCTTAACTATACTTGTGAAAATATTTATTTTAAATTAAAAAAGTAATTCTACATAATTTCTTGCTTGTTAAATAAATTCGATTCACATTGAGAAATTATGAAAAATAACTTTTTCTTTAATTTAAAATAAATATTTTTACAAGTATAATTAAGTCCATCCATGGACACATTGTGTAATGTCATACAGAGAGGCTGAAATTGAGGCTATAGTAAAATCTCAATCGAGACTTGAAAATTTCAAATAAAACAAAATATTTATATAAATTTATTATTAAAATGTTCTTGAAATCAAGTACCAATAGCACAAAAGTAGAGGTAGGTGTAGGCGTGTTCTTTTATTCAGTGCTGTATCCAGCGCTTGCAGCAAACCGTTCGTAAATTAAGTGATGGAAAGACGATTGTATGTGTCAATCATTCTTTTTTCCAGCGGTGAGTTCACCAATGAGCCAAGGCATCCATCGGCTTTAAAAGCCGATGGATATGTGATAGACGAATGGTGAGGATAATCAATCATTTAAGTTAACCTAAAATATAAGAGTTCAAATATAAAACGACTGCAGAATAGATAAATTACATCAATCACTGATAGAACAATTATTGAATAAAAGAACACACCTTATATCACAAACACAAGTACACATGTGGGATAGAAGAAGCTACCTAGAAAGCACTGAACGATTGGACAAAATTAGCTAAATAGTATAATAAGGTACCAATATTGCAAAGGTTCACTAAAACCTTAAATGGTGAACGATGATAAAGCTAGATTGGTGAAAAATAATAAACGAATACAACAATGACTAGGTACATATTATTATATTAGATTACTAGAGGATAGCTAAGTTCGCTGATTTCTTACCTAAGACGCAGAGATATATCTTTTTTTAAATCAAGCCTTTTAACTTTTTTTGCATAGATATTTATAAAGTGCTATAATGTAACCTAAATATGACAATTTATTAGAAGAGAATAAATTATATTTTTATATAAAAAGATTTTACTTCTCAATACATTGAATAAAAAAGAAATTGATAACTTGTTTACCTATTATTAATTAAAGGAAATTATATAGAAATTAAAAAATATGCCTTACTTTGTTGTTTTAAATAAAACAACCAATGTTAGTGTATTGAAATTTGTTTGAATTTTACAAATTTTATGCTTGATTTCCAAAGTAGATATATCAATGGCTCAATCAAAAAACGCCACAAGTCAAAAAACAAAGCAATTACATTTTTGGTTCAATGGATGCAAAATATCATTACGGTTTTACTTTAAATACCACCACAAACAAAAATATCCTTAAAGATAAATCATTTAAAATGTAGCCACAAACTGTGTCTAAAACTGCCTCAATTCGAGTTATTTTCTTCAAAAACACCCAAATTTTTTACAACTATGCAACAACTCACTTTTATAATCGTAATCATTTTATTTAACAGCAAAATATCGAAGCTTTTAAATAAAATATAAAGAGTATGTCAAAAACAAAATAATGATAATAGAGACTTACAAAATTTCAAAATGAAATTTCTCGAAATAATAGTATTTTAGTTGTGGCAGTATTTGATTGAGCCATCGATATGTAGATTTTATAAAAAACAACTGGTGTTTTTTAGCAAGATATTCTATTATACTTGAGAGTATCATCTATGATTTCTTTCAACTTTTCTGCTGGGTTTTCACTTGAAATGATGGTTGCATTTCCAGGCAATCTAGCCTGTTGAAGAAAATGAACTGCTTGAATTCTGATATACCTGACATATCATGTACCTATAGATTCACTTTTTATAAAACTTCAGGTGTTATATTCTTCTTTACACTTCTGTAGTATTTACTTTTGCTTCTAAAATTCCTAGAATGTCGAAGGAAACCTAAAAAATAATATTTTTAAAATGTATTTTTAGTTCGATAAAGTATAATTACCTTTTATAAGTATTTGGTGTAAAATGTTGCCGGACATTCGGTTAAATGTTTATCTTCTGGTTTACAATGATTGATCTGCAATTCTTTGTATTTATTGTAGTTTTTTTTTTATTTGGTGTCATCGGCATCGACTGCTAAAGATACTTAATGAATGAAATAATAAATTTACATCAGGCATTGTAATCTGAAACAAAGACAATGGTTTAGAAAATATTTATCTATTTTATAGAGGACCCTTACCAAATCTATTCGAATGTATAAATAATAATTATTTATAAAATAAATTCTGGATGTCGAAAAATAAACCATTAAAAAAGACAATTGACAAGAAAAACTGACAAGTGACAATTGACATAAAACTAAACGTTCTGAATTCAGATTTGTAATGTTGTGGTAATGTTTACGGTAGGTTAACTAGGTAAATAACAAATAGAAGTTTTGCGAGGTTTTGATTTCCCTCAACAACTTCTCATGAACGTTGCATTTACGTTGTATAGTAATGTTATTACGTTCCCTTAATGCAACATCGCCGAAAGGCTTGGCAACGTTATGTGCTAGCTGGGTAACTTTGCATGTTTCGACCATATCTTTGATGAAAACAGAAAAAATACGACTATTGATATTTATTTATTTATTTTAAATAGGTAAATTTTATTTATCTTAGTGTAACATCTTCAGTTAATATTTTCGCTATTTATTTTGATTATTGTGCAGAAAAAAATTTAAAGTAGGTAATCATCTTTAACAGTAAGAAAAGTTCTTGTCCACGGTTGTTATATTTAAAAAATGAACTAATGAAAGACACCATTTAATTCTAATATTTTTTTTTATACCTCAATGTTATTTTACCGTTATTAGCCTATGAAAGTGTTTGTAATTGAAATCACGATTTTGATTTTGACAAAACACAATAGGTAAAACACTAAAAATTATTAATTAAGGCATATAAAAAACCAGATACATTTTGATTGAACCATTATAGCCATATTTCCTGGTTTTACATTTTTTTGATAAAATTATTTTGTGGTCTTAGGAAAAATATTGTGAAAGTGATTTTTCACACTCGTAATGTAATATACTAATTTTTTTTTACAGAAGACGGTATGCTAAATATATGTCACTTGTATGTGAGGTGGATAATGAACTTTTCTCAGAAGAGGTTACTTTTACTGAAGATATTTTTGAAGCTTTAGATGAGGTATACGCATCGTTTAAATTTCTTTAATACATCATTAAACCAACCTCTTTATTACTCATCCGTCCTTAAAATTATTGCTTTTCGTCTGCCCAAAGAAAATTCAAATGTTTTATCTATATACTAATACTGCACCCAAATGTATGAGAGCATGTCCCATACAGCACACATTATTTCAAAAATGTTTCAGAAATATTTCAAACGTTTCAAACATATATCATTTCACGAACAAGTTTCTGGTAAACATGTTACACAAAAAGTTACTAAACGGGTTACTTATGTTGTAAAAGGGTTATATGGAAAGCAGAATAGGCAGAATATGTCTTTAGAAATTGAGGCGAGTATTACAATGCTTGTTTGGGTTAGGTTTATTAACTTTATCTCTTCTCCAAGACTAGTGACGCCATTTGGTTTATCAAATTTATAGGCATTTTATATTCTTATTTCTATTTAAATATGACCTACATTTGCTGTCCTTCCAGGAGTTTTATTTATTAGTTTTACAGCTGATTGAAAAGTGAAGCTTGTTTTATTATAGTTAATTTAAAACAATATTAATAGACCTTTTTAATTACCTATAATTTGTTTCAGATTAGTGCATTTAAAGGGATTGGTCAAAATGAACCCAGCTAGCACATAACATTACCAAGCCTTTCGGCGATGTTGTTTTAAGGGAACATAATAACATACCCATACAACGTAATTGCAACGTTAATGAGAAGTTGTTGAGGGAAATCAAAACCTCGCGAAACATCTATTTGTTACTTACGTATTTAACCTGTCTGTTATGATAACACAACGTAATAAAGTAACTTGCTAAAAAAGTTTCCACAAGAAGTACTATGGACTTTCGAACGTAGCCATTCGTTTGTCATAACCAACAAAACATAAAAAAATGTCACTTGTCACTTTTTCTTGTACGTATTTCCATAGAAACTTATTTCAGATTTTAAAGAAATTGGAAACTATACGTTTGAATAAGTTTGGTAAGTTGTTTTCTTCTTTTCAATAAATTTTCTAATTTATTGTCTGTTGTTTTAGATGGTAAAATTTCAATTTCCAAATACAATAAAAAATAAATCATTGTAAACAAGTAGATACAATTAAATGATGAAATATTTATTTTACACGATAATAGGGATCTTATTGATGCCTTAATACTATAGAAGTAACGATATTAAACAATGAAAGTATCGATATTTAGGCACTGAATTACTGAATTACCAATACTATCGCCATAGTGATACTTAGAAGCAAGTATTGTATCGCTATGTGTGTGGTCAGAGATTATAAGGTTTGTTCAAATATTTGTACTGAAATATTTTAGTTTTTGCATGTGGTGAAACTTGGTAATATGATTAAGCGTTACCACTGTTTTTTTGTTATTTAATTATAAGGTAAATTGCCAGTTATTGACACTATAACTTGTACCAGGTAGAGTACCAGTAGAGAAAGAAAAGGTGTCGACTACAGAATATACTTTACTGATGCACTCTTGTTATTAGTTAAGTTGCCTACTCCGTCCTGTTGAATGGGGGTTGCCAGCCGTTTAACAAAAATCTTTTACTTTTTCGATACTTTGTTACTCGAGACATAAATATCAATATCTTTAACATAATATCGAACAGTATCGATGCCTCTACCACAAAGTATCTCACATGATACTGGTATTGATACCTTTGACCAATACTCAACCCTACTCCCAATTATAAAAATACAAAAACAGAGAAGTCATATACTGCCATCCTAACAAGAGAAGTCCTATCTGAAAATTTATATTTATTATCTTTTAAACCTTTTTTGTGTAACTTTTTAACATTTTAGTACCTTTGTTACAAATAAGACATTCCTTTTCAGTATCGAGAAAGATAAAATGTAGACAAATACACATAAAAAAACTGCTAATTTTGCAGATAAAACCTTTCTTGCTAGAACAGCAGTATAGAAGTGCTCATGTAGTTCACTAAAGATAAATAACATTTAAATTTGTTACGTTTCAGTAAATTAAGTATTACCATTGCTGGACAGTAGTGACGTTTTGGTGGATAAATACAGCATTTCACTGGATATATATACCTATGCCATTTTGCTGTACGTTTGCTGCACAATACCAATTGCTGGACAAACTTTAAAAATGCTTTACAATACAGAAAAATTGCTGTAAGTATGGTCGCCCTAGTGTAATAATATTTTAATCACTAAAAATAAATTTTAAAAATATTGTGTTTTAGGTTTCCTTTGTGCTGGATTATAATTCTAGTAAAAATCTCAGGAATTTTAGAAGCTAAAGTTAATACAGAATTGGTTGAAGAAGAATATATAACATCTGAGATTATTTCTTTTTCTTTCATAGCAGAATATCATGCTAAAAAACATTGTTCTGTATAAGTTGAACATCCATTATTAAGTATAAAATTTGTAAAAGTCAAAATAAATGTTATTATTTATTTAAAAAAACAAAGTAAGTAAAAATCAACTAAAAATAGGTGCAACGATTTAAACGAGCATATTTTTTATTTTCTTTATATATATATATTATTTTCTTAATAATAATTAAACAAGTAAATTTATTATTTACAAAGTTATTTTTACGGAAGAAACTATGTAATTAAGTTCACATATTTATTTGTTTACAGTACGCTACTGATATATAAAGTTCTAAATGGTTAAAATATCAAAATAAAATAAAAAAGAAATTAATAAAATTGTCACAGTATAAAAATGAAGTCAATAGTGTAATAAAAGTTGACACTTTAAAAAATAAACCTTTTAAAATGTCATAATTTGAAAAATACTTATTGTAATTGGACATCAGTTGGTCTACAAATAAATTCTGTCCATAGTTAGTTCTATGAGCATTTACATAAAATAGTTTCATATGCCTAGTAAGTCTGGCAGGAACAAGGAATCTAATAAAGTGTACCAGGCTGTCACTATCAATCAAACCGTTCAATAACTTATACAGGAAAACAAATGATGCTTCTCGACATCTGCATTCCAAACTCTTATAGGTCCCTCTCAAAAATAACATCAAGATCATTTATAGTTTGCTCAAAACTTAGTTCAGAACCTGCAATGACAATCATGCATAATGATATTAGCTGTTTTATTAAACCTTATGACTTTACATTTATCAATATTCAGTTTATATCATATTAAAACTATGATTAGTACCAGTTGTAGGCAAATATCTTTTTTTAGCATCCTACAACTGCCATCTTAATAAAAATCTAGTGACTTTTGAAATATACCTTATATAAATACACTTTTTACTACTTTTGTACAATCGTGCACCATTTTAGCTACCAGTGAACCTTTGCAATATAGGTACCTTATTATACTCTTTCGTGCAAGCGTTCAGTGTTTTCGATTCTAGTGAACCTTTGAGATATTCCTTATATACCCTTTATACCAACTTTTGTCCAATTTGTCAGTGTTTTTTTACCTATATTATTAATACCTACCTCTACTTGTATGATATTGGTTCTTGATTTCAAAAGCTTTTTAATAATAAATTTATACAATTTTTTATTTTGTTTTCTTCAGATTTTACTATATCCTCAATATACTATTTTGAATATAGTGTATCCAAGGATGGACATAACTATACTTGTAAAGATATTTATTTTAAATTTTTCAAAAGGTCTTTTTCATAATTTCTCAACGTTAATCGTATTTATTTAACAAGCAAAAGAAATTATGAAGAAGTACTTTTAAATTTAAAATAAATATTTTTACAAGTATTGTTAAGTCCATCCGTGGACACACTGTATAATGCTGTAGAATGAGTTCACATTATAACATCTATAGAAAGTTTCAGAGCAACTTTCAGGGTAAGTACCGTAAAAGTGCTAGTGTGATGTTTTCCGAACTTCACTTTTTAACTTCTGTGAGATGTGCTATAAAAGTCTTGCCGTTGCGGACATTCGGTGGTTGCAGGGATGATAGGGTTACATTAACAGTACATTGCATGCGAGCTTAAAGAGCCTAAAATTGCAGCTTATTAACGTAGATGGGATGTTTTTGTGCTAGCTGGGAAGCGATTCGCCAGCTTTGGGCCAGTAAAAGTAGCATCGAAGTTATTCAACGTTTCCAGAATAAAGTATTAAGGAACATCGTCGATGCACCCTGGTACTGCCACAATACTGATCTTCATAGGGACCTTAAAGTGAAGACTGTTGAAAATACAATACAAAAATTTGCCAGTAGTCACCAACAACGACTGCTCCAACATGGAAACCTTGAGATTATCCAGCTCCTCAACAATGCCAATCTAATAAGAAGACTAAAGAGAACCAAGCCTTTGAGTTCAGTGATGTTAAAGCATAGTATACGGTTAAGTGTTATACGTTAACGGTAGTGTAACTAAATAATTAGACTCTAAGGTATATATACTAGTGAGTAGAATATTAGTTTATGAAGTTTTTCATCCCTTGATAAGTAAGATTAGAATAAAATTGTAATAATCGTAAATGTTTCTTTACTTGGGGCATTTATTAAAAAATAAAAACTATTTGTTTCAGATTAGTGCATTTAAAGGAATTTGTGGAAATGAAGAGATTCGCCTTTTATATATATTATGAAATAATGTTTAAACATTATTTGTTTGTTTAAGAATCAATATTTGAGTTTTGTGTATTTTAAATAAACATGTATAGGTATTTATAAATGTCTTTTTTAGTTTAATAATATTTCAGAAAAAAGCTAGAATACATTTCTGAAATATTACTATTTAATATTTCAAAAAGATTTCAAATTTTTATTTCAGAAATATTACTGTCAAATATTATATTTACAGGACATTTTTAGGTTTCAGGCACACTTCAGAAATGTTTCTGGGATGTTTCGTAATATTTCCGAAATGTGTTTGTGCTGTATGGAAAATTGATGGGTGTGTATTTAATTTAAAGCTTATTTTCTTCTTTTTAGAGCATTTAAATAAATGCTTGTTTTTAAAAAAAATTTACTATTAATTTATTATACCGTATAATGTGCAGACCTGCCATGACACGTATTGTTTGGGCTGTTGTATTTTTATCAGATCGGCGAGCTTTATTGTTTATAGTCTATGTGGTGTGATTCGATTTCGGTTTTGTATATTATTATTAGTTTGTGTTAATTCGCCAGCACGCGTTTCCATTGTACATGAAAGACATGGATGTAGTCAATAAACGAAAAGAGATTTTTTTTTAATACGCGAGTCTTATAAGTGTGCTGCTAAAAAGGACTGCAGATTAGAATTCACGTATAAAAAAGTGAATAAACGCTATAAAAAAAAAGAATTGCTTTTGGGGGGGGGGGGGGGGGAGAGGCAGAACACCCAATGTCTTTAACCACTAGCCGCCCCGCCAGTGGTAAATTACGATACAATAAAAATGAAAGAACAAGAACTCGGGACTCTGACCAATCCTTTTAAGAGGCATCTGAAGATTAGAAAAAAGAAGAATAAAAAAGAAGAACTGTGGAAGAACTTAACCTATTTTCGCAGTTGTTATTGTTGATTGTTGTATTTCAGATTTTAGTATTTTATTAGTGATTTATTTTATGCGTTATATCGGTGTATATATTAAAATAGTTACTGTGCCAATTATTTGCACCTCATCAGAGAAAGAACAAATCGCTCCCCCATGGATCTGATGAAGAAGCATTAGTAATCACCCGAACAAGCAGGTCTGTAAATTGTATTCTCTTAAAACCAAATAGTTTGCTCCATTGTTAGAGTTAAGTCTAGTGGTATTCAAGTTTTATGAATAAAAAAGTATTGTGCATATATGATTCTACTTCAAAATTGGTCATTTATTTGTGCTATCTAATTTTCAATGAATTTTCATAACCTTTTTATACCACTTACAGTTGCGATTTAGCACAAATAGTGCCCCTATTAACAACATTAAACGCTATAAAACTAAATAGTAAGTGCAGGGTATAAATGTTATGATCTTCCTTTAATTTCCAAACATTAAGAACAAACCGGTCCTCTCATGAAAGCAAAAATGTTTTGAGGATTTTCTAATATAAAATTGTATTTATATGCACGCCACTGGGAATATTTCGCAATGTTATGTGTCTCGAGAATATTGTGAGCTTTAAATTTGTGTAATGATAAGGCAGCACTCTACAGAAACATTTAAGAAAAAAAAGTGGGAAAATTTCCCATTTAAAAAACTATTAGATATTTATAAATACTTTTCGAAGGTATACAAAAAAAAACAAGAATTCTCCACCTTAAGTTTTGTTATTATTGGTATTTCCTGAAAATTTCACAAAAATCGGACTAAAAATAGAGCCTCAAAAGGACAAAAAATTATTTCAAGGTGTTCCATTTTCTATTAAGATTCATATAAGACAAGGGATATAAATATATTCAGTAAATTCGATGAAATAGTTTATTTACTGAGTAAAAACTTGTTACAACTTTTATTAAGTATTGTAAACAGTAATTGTTGACATGTCCATTTTATAACATGTTTAAGGGACAATTTGCATTCCTACATAGTAGGCAACCAGTATTACCAACTTGTTATACAAAATATCCTGTTGCATTGTAGGCATCTATTTCACTGTTATTTATTTACTTATTTTCTTTTCAGGAGTATGAATGACAACCATATAATTCCGTGCCCTCGTTCTTGGTTATACCCACATCATGGGTTACCGGAAGAAACTCTCAAAGAAAATCAAAGAAGAATATTTCAAGAGTACTTACCTGGTATGGTTATTACTAAGATAATACCATTGAATGACACAAAAAAACCCCGTTGCAGTTGGGCTGTGCATTTTACTTGTCATAACCAAGGGAGGGATGTACTACGGAGAATTCATAACCAACTGGATCAATTAAAGCCACGCAATACAAATATACGTTCATTAGAAGCTGGGGATTCACATAATTTTGTTGTCATTTACAAGATTGTGTGCACTTGTGCAGCTTTACATTTTTATAAGTATGACAAAATCAAAAAATTGGAGAATATTGTTGAAAACATCAAATTGGAACATGATAACATTAAATTAGAAAATGTGCATTCATAAGTATGACAAAATCAAAAAGCTTGTGAATATGGTTGAAAACATCAAATTAGAGAATTTCCATTGTGATTGTATTGTAGGTTTTGAATAAATACAGTATAGATAGGTGTCATTGTGAATATTTGCATTTTTTGTTTACATTGTATTTACAATTACTATGCATGATTAAGACCATTTTTGTATTGTTAAATAAAATACCATTTTAATTTATTAGTGGTTTCATTGCAAATATTCATGAAATTTATAATAAAGAATAGAATATACCATTTTGGCCAGTGATTCTCTATACCTTAGATTCATGATTTATTAGATAGCATATACAGGGTGTTACTATATTTGACTGACAACACTCTACCCCAGGGAGCTCTTGTTAATTGAGGAATTTTGATTTTTGGCAAATTTTATTTTTAAACTTTTAACACTGTCTCTCGATAACTAAGCCCTTTAAAGGTTCATGTTTCCATATCAAAATTCATCAATTAACGAGAGCTATATATTGGGTAGAGCATTGTCGGTTGAATTATACTAATACCCTGTAGATAGGTTGAATCCTTATTATTAAATAATTTTTGAGTGACATTTTCATTTGAGACACTTATTTGAAGACTTGGTTTAGGTATAGTTCTGACTTAATTTTGTTATATTTTTACTCTTAAGTAGAAGAAAATTATATTCCAAAATTGGTGGTGGTTCAGTGCCTAGCAACATTTTAGACTATTATTTTATAAATACATTGTATTTTTAATTCGTGTTCCATTATTAATTTTTAGATTTATTGTCTTCCAATTACATAGATAATTTCATAATCTTTATGGGTTTTGTAAGATATAAATTATCCTACTGACTGCGCCATATATTCGTCATTACGTGATAATGATTAAATGTGAATTGAAGTACCATAAACTTCATGTTTAGTTATAACATTTACAAAACTCAATACGAATCTAAAACCAATACAGGAGTTTGTTGATTTTTGAGTATGTTGGTTATCAAAATGTCTTTTTTGTAAATCATATATAAGCCTTTGAAGAGTTACTTGATTTTCCTTTCTAATTATTGTTTTACAAATTATTGATTGAAAATGATTTTTTTATTTTCATTAATTTTTAGGCGTTTGCATGTAATGTTTTTATTGACTCTTTGATATGTGCCATTACAAATAATAATGGCATATTCTTTTGTTAACTGTGACTGACAATCCTAATCAAACATTATAATTATGTATTATTATTATTATTAACATTCAAATAATAAAAGAAATATTTCAGTGCAATAGACACAAGTTTTAGATCAATTTATAACATTCCAGTTTGTTCATTCAACTTTGCCTAAAATTTATAAAATAATTGTTCATACTCTTTTATATTAATATATGGATTTATTTAGAAAATAAACATACATTACCGTTTCTAGTTCTTTAATTCTTTATAGAGAACAAAAATATATTTTTTTAATCAGCTTTTAATGAAATCAAAATTTTTTATTGATATCGATATTTTAAAAACAAATTCATATATTAGAACATATATCCTGTTCGGATAAAACTAGTATCTATACATTAAGAATATTTAATTGAAAAGACACAATGTGGTTGGTGTCATTTTGAAATTTTAAGGACGAATGCTGTAGAGTTATTATACCTCTATTCAATCTTCCTTTTGTATCTCCAAACCTCGTTTTTATATTTGTTGGATCAAAGCAAAATCCAATATTTTTGACTCCTTTTTAGATGAAAATACCTGTGGAAGAAACCATGACACATTGCAAATTCTTGAATATGAAAGCAGCATCCTGTAGTGATATGTTTTATCCAATCATATTAGACCAAAGTATTTGTTATACGTTCAATTTACTGGACAGAAAGTATATTTATAATGAAAATGTGTAAGTCGTTTATTTATCAAATTTCAGACGAAAATTAATATGCATATTTTATACCCACTTGATTTTTCTTGTTTCCTATTTTATTATAATATTGCAGGGTCCATTTCAAAAATTATCATTACTCAAATGAAAGTACTGTAGGTTGGACGTTGGATAAAGGATATGAAAAAACAGAAGACGATAGATTGAATAATCCATTTAGAGCTTTCATATCGGGAGCTGATAATGCATTGGAAGTAACGTTTTATCAAAATATTAGTAATAATGACCCACTCTGCATCCAAGATGTACAAGGATTTAGTGTAAGTACCGTTGAATTAATTTTTGTATAATAATTACCTACCTATCTACCCTAAAATAATTATTATACAGTGGTGTTCCATAAAGTTGGATTCATATGGGAATTTTTTAACATTACCATTGGAAAAAAAAACGTCGTAGAGGACATCAACTCTGCTTTTTTAGAAGCTTAAAATAGCCCATATTAAAGTTGGATAGGTACTGCATTAGTTATCGGTCAAATTTAGTTAAATTTTTTTAAATACCAATTTGGCAGAAATCATATGTCAGTAGCCAACTTTGCCCTACTAAGCTTTTTTTAAATCGTAATATTTAAATTAAATCCCATATGAATCCAACTTTATGGAACACAGTGGATATCTCCAAAAAGCAGATTTTAAGTTATCTATATTTACATACATGAAGAAAGGACTTATACAATATATGCCCAATAATTCAAATTTCCTGACAGTATTTTGTTTTGTGATCTAGTACGGTCTTATCTTTATCGGTTGTAAGCAAGTAGGGTTAGGTTTGGCCCAGAACACTGCGGCCTCTCGGGTCTATTGTATTCCCCTGCTTTCCCCCGTATTCAGGTACTATCTTTGGAATAGTCCTGTGTCTTTGGTTTTAATAGATTCCCTACCAAGTGTTCCTGGGGCGTTCTTTCCGGTTCTAGGCCGAAAAGGATGAAACGTCGCCCAGTAAGAGCTTCGCATTCGAAGATCACATGGTATGAGGTTTCTTCCTCTTCCATGCAAAGTCTACACGTAGTGGGATCATTGTGTAATCCCATTACATGAAGGTGTTTCAGCAAGCAGTGTCCCGTTAGTAATCCCACAATGATGGATATCTGAGGCCTTGCGAGTTATAGTGCCTCAGTAGCCATGCGTGGGTTTAGTCCCCTTAGCATGAACTTACTGATTATGTGCCCTCTTATCTGTTGCCAGTGAATTTAGTGTTTTGTTTTTATCCACCTGTTCACTGCCTGTCGAGCAGAGGTTTTGCTTATCCCAAATACAGGTTCGGGTTCTGTGAATGGTAGATCTGATCCCTCTTTAGCAAGTTCATCAGCCTTTTCATTTCCTTGGATACCTTTGTGCCCTGTACCCACGCTAGTTTTACCTTGTTGTGGGTTGCCAGATCATTTAGTATTCCAAGGCAGTTCCAGACAAGCTTTGACTTGATTCTGTTTGAATCAAGAGCCTTTAAAGCTGCTTGGCTATCTGAGAGAATTAGGATGGTTTGTTTTTTGTACTTCCTTCTTAAATTCTCTCGTACACACAATTCGATTGCATGTATTTCAGCCTGAAATACAGTGGCATGTTTTCCCAGTGAGACCATGATGTCGCATTTGGGTTTAACTCCATGTACGCCAGAACCTGTTCCCTTGTTAGTTTTAGATCCATCCGTATACCATACGAGACCGCTAAGCAAGTATTTATCTATCTATCTATCTTCTTATTTACCTCGTTACAGTTGACCTGGAAGAGTCTGTTAAAGGTTAGGAGGGGTGTCATGTAATCTGATCCCATATTTAATATAGAATCATTTACTTCATGTGTTATTCTGGTATGTTCTATATGTCCCAGTGGGTTCCAGTTGTTGGAGATTTCCAGTCTGTATGCACTCATTCTGGCCTCCCCCTTTATGACTAGGTCAAGGGGTGGAGGTTTAGAATGATTTCCATAGAGGCTGTCGGTGTACTTCTCATTGCTCCTGTAATACAAAGGCATGTCAGCCTCTGTACACCTGAGAGGATATTAAGGGCTGTTTTCTGGTTTACTTTTGGCCACTAAACAACCGCTCCATAAGTTATCATGGGTCTTGTTATTGCCAAATATAGCCAGTGGACCATTTTTGGTTTTAATCCCCATGTTTTTCCAAATGCCCGTATCCCTACAATGAGAGACATTTTACATTTGTCGGTCACTTTTTGTAAGTGTTGGTTCCAAGTAAGTTTGCTATCTAGCACGGTCTTAGTAATGGAGTGACTCAACTATATATTGATACTGACGAAAAGTTTTAAAATGTATGGTTATCGCATTTAATTCATTTTAATTTCCTCTTTATTGGAATAGAATTAATTTTTTAAAGTACTTTCATAAATCATAAGATTTAGCGTTAAATTTTTCTTAAAAATTAGCTACTTTATTGATAAAAAAACATACAGTTCTAAGAAACTTAGAAATTGGCTGCCCCAATGTAAAGTAAATCTATTTAGTTCTAAAAAATCCTGACAATATTTGACATATCAAAATGAACCAGTATTTTACTTAATATTTTATTGTTTGATCATGTGTTTTTAGTCATAAAGAGACCGAAGTCTAAATGCGTCCGTATTTCACCGTTCTATCCCCGCACGCGATCAATACAACACTTAAATCGGTCATTGTTTTACTAAACCAGGGGCTAAAATCGACAAGAATACCGAAATATCGCATTTTCTTTACCTTACTTCGGATTCTTACGTTTCCACAACGGATAGATAGGGGGCGTTATAGAGTCGTTATATTACTAAAGCTCATAATTACAAATTTTCAAGGTAGGTCACTCTATTACTACGATAGCGATATATAGGAGTGAATGTAAATTTACTGACTGCATTATAGGTATTATTAGATTATTTTGTATTTATAGGTATTATTACATGCACCATATGCAGTGCCATTATTAAAAAAACAATACTTTAATGTTGGTTTTGATAGAGTTGTAATGGCTTCTGTTCGACCTAGAGCGATGTCTACATCGGATAAAGTTCTGCAGTTTAGTTCAAGTATCCGTCAATGTTATTTTTCTACAGAGAAGAAACTCAAATATTTTAATATCTATTCACCTAGGAATTGTAAACTGGAATGCCTCACAAATTTTACCTTGAAAACATGTGGATGCGTCAGTTATTATATGCCAAGTAAGCAATACATAAAATTAAGCATTTTATCCCGCTAATGACTTTTTATTTATTGATTATGCAGGATGTCCCAGGGCTAATTTATCTAGGCAATTTCTCATAAACGATATTTGGTATGAGGGATTTTCGGGGGCGCTCTATCGATATCAAATATTTTAGATAGCCAGCCACTTCCGGTTATGCCCGAAGTGGCCCTAAAAGTCTTTGTTCTAAATTCTAAATAGAACATTTAGAACAAAGAAGTTTGGCGTCAGCTACCCTTAATATTTTATATCGATAGAGGGCCCCGAAAATCATTCGTATTCAATGTTCACTCGAATATCTCTGATCGTTTACGAAGTACAGCTTCGATAAATTAGTCGGGACACCCTGTATATTAGGTGGACGTATTCTTTTTAACAGTATAACCATCCTGATATTAGATATAAGTATGTTTAGATTCTATAATAACCATCCGTACGTGAAAAGATCCAGTGGCGTAGCGTATACTGGGCCAGGGAGCGACTCCCCCACCCTCGCCCCGGCATTTGCCATTATATGAGCACCTTTGGCGCCCCTTGTTTCCCGATTATATTCCCTATTCACAATAAAAAAACAAAAAGGGTATTACTAAAATAATTTTGTAAGTCAACTCGCTTTAAAGAGTTCATAGAAGTTTCACAAAAAATTTAATTTTAACATAAGACCTATGCTAACATACGGTGCAGTCGTCTGGGTATCAAAAACCCAACAAGTGACAGCTATCCGCAAACTAGAACAAATTTAAAAAACTTCATTCTTAGTCTCACTCCCCTTATTGATACTTACATGAAGGATTTGCTTGGAATTCAACCTAATGTAGGATCTGTTGAGACGAAAAGTCACTTTTGGCAAAAGGCGCTCGATACGCTTCCACTAAACATAAAATGGGCTTGTGTAGTTCAAACCGAACTCACGGAGATTCTCACAGCAGCAAAAGAAGTTACCAAAACAATATCACTACTGGAATAAACATACAGGTATCAAACAAACACTACTCACTGTCAACAGACCACCAATTTATTCAGGTTTAGTATTAGAATGTCACGAGGGTTAGTATTAGAATGTCACGAAGCTTTGGCCTACGTATCCATCAACAATGTGGTCACCTTAAGATGTTTTAACTATCAAAGGTCACTCCACATCGAAAGGTATATAACCGTCTTGCTTATTCACTACCCAAGAAGGCAGCCAACCAAATACTTTTTTCATCCAATTAAAGAACATTCACTTGTGAAATTCAAGGAAAGATGGAATGGAACAAGAAGCTGTAGAATTGCTAGGGTGCTTTTAAGTTAATCCGACAACACAACACGAAACAAATACTTGACTATGACTAGACAGAATCTACGCCTAACCACAGGAATTCTGACTGGTCATTATGAGTATGGAAGCATCTCCATAGCATGGGTCTGTCAGAATCCGCCCTCTGCAGGGGGTGCGAACAAGAAGATGAGATCATCGAGCATATCCTCTACGATTGCCTGGCGCTCTCATTTATTAGAAGATTTCTGTTCGGCTAGTAACGGCTAACACCGGCCGATATAAGAGAAGCTCCTCTCAGTAAAGTTGTTAACTACTTTAAATCTGTAGGCTGGCTGACGAGCTAAGAGGGGCGGGCCTATCAATTTAGGAGATTGCCCAGTGGGCTTAGTGAGACCTCAGTTCCGTGAGACAACCCACCCTCTACAAGTTACAGATACAGATATAATGGCTGAAAAACTGGGCGCAACTGATAATAACAATAAAAGTATTATGAATGGATTTGCTCACATCTTACAAGAATGATTTAACATCGTGTACGGTAGATGAATACAAGTCATTCTACAGTTATATGTTAGATGTCAAAAGGGAAAATGAACTAATTACAGAAGAAATATTACCATTCATAATATCCAACTAGAGCAAATAATTGAATTAAAAGAATTGAAAATGTAATTGAATTACCTTAATTCAATTAGCTTAGAATTAATTAGTACCTACTTCAATTACTTTCTAGAAAGTAATTGTAATTGGTAATTTATTTGTGGTTGGCTTTTATGAATATTAAGAGGTTTATATTATGCAGTTTTCACTAATTTTGGCGTAACTTTTTTATTTTTGAATATATTTGTATGCGGGTTGAATTATTCAATTCTTAATCAACTCCTGGAGTGCGGAAATTTATTAAAAAATATATATGCTGTTTTATTTAAATAATTGAAGTTTATAGTTAAGTCAGAACAACTTTTCTCATCTTTAACACGTTCCCGCTGGGGCAGTTTTAAGTCATATTGGTCACTGAACGTATATACTAATTCGAAAAAATCACGTAATGACGGACATTATATCTATTATTATTTGGTCAAAAAATGAGCATTTATATACCCCTATCATAAAAATTTTCCTTTTCTCTTTTTATTTTGCCATATTAGATAGCGACCCACTGGTGGGTCGCCCCGCGGTACAGGAATATTTTTGTTCCCTGGTCGAAGCGCCACACCGGTGGGTCACGGGTTGTTACCATAGATATATAACCAAGACTGATAGGATTATTTACAAAATTTTTGAAGAATGAACGGTGGTGTCCGCGGTAGAAACTCAATAATCGGATTGAACATTGATGCCAAGTTTACGTGCTTTTAACTATAGATATATATAACCAATACAGATTACACAATTTCTGAAGTCAACGCGGATGATCCTCGACAGAAATGCAATATTTGGATAAAATTAAAATATTGATGCCAAGTTTGCGATGTTTTTAACTGTAGTAATGTTATGGCGTTTGCTTGAATTACTGTTAGGTCTTTAAATTGTCAAAAAAAAAATAATGTCTGACAACAGCGGAAGTAGAGTAGACCGCAATTGTGGAGGGTCGTATATTGTTTCATTCATAAAAATTCCTTCGATACAGTATTAGTCCAGGAGCCAGTGAATTTTTTCGTACTTGTTTTCCCGGTCCCTGTATATTTAAATAATCTATTCCCGGTGAACTGTATATTTAAAATGGAACGCCAATCTATTAACAAAAGTAAGCCAGATTGAATTCGCGCATTACGTCACATCGATACAAGTGAGATTGTTTACAAAGTGCCTTTGCAGGCCTATTTTGCCCATTTCATGTATTTGTTTTTAAATCATGTTAAATTACTATTTTTGAAACTCAACAAGGAGAAAATTCAATTAACTCTTCCGTTGTGTATATATATAAGATAAATTAACTGAAGTTTTATTAGTAAAGTATTAATACTAAAATTTTAATGTAATTTACAGAAAATAGCTAGGTATGTATTTGTTTTTAAATAATTTCATAATTTATGAAAAAAGGGAGTAAAAGTGGAATGACCAGTGGCCAGTAGGTCAGTCAATACAAAGTATCATATATTTCTATTATAACATAACTAAAATACCTACATCTTTTAATCATAAGGACATAAGTTAAAAACCATTTTAATATATGCATTAGAATGAAGTAATAATAACTTAAAGAGACGAGGTCTTAAAGTAATAGCTGGTACAGCATGTTTTTTAAACGTTTCCTCATTGCTGCTAGAATGAAATCACTTACTATGAAATGTGCTCTAAAAACGGCTTTTATAGCAGTCAGTGTTCAGTCTTAGGATCTCTTCCTAAAGCCCTCATCCAAGCTGCATACATATTAAAAAATAATTTAAAAAAAAAAACATTATATACCTATATAGTTTTCGGTTCTGGGTGCCCTAAAAGAGGACACTTAGCCGACAATTTAGCTCAGATAGCTAAAACCCAAAAGTCGCACCCCGAACCAGGACGTATTGCTATCCTTTTAAGTAAAAAATAACTACAAATAACTTAAATGAAAAATTAAGGCGTCTAACTTTACACCAAAAAAACCATACACTTTTTCCCATTGTTGCAACACCCGATGACGATTAGGTAGATATCAACTAGAAGCATGTACTTAATGGTTATAAAGCTTATTTTAACACAAAAAGAATAAAGCACTAGTCGAAAAGCAGGAATCAAATATAAATAGACCACAATATTAAAATTCAAATTAAAAACTATATAAAAGACAAATACTCTAAAAGCGCAAAAGATCAGAACCAAATAAAATGAATAACCATAATAACCTAAAAATCACACTAAAATTACAAAAACTATTACTGTAAAATCATGAGATTACATCAATAATGCATATGCGTCGGAGTATCGCAAATGTCAAAAGTACAGTGTTTCCATGAAAATTTAGCTATGTTTTTAGCAGTATTATAGGACCATTTTTACCACGCGCATCCAACGATATTGGCGTTCCACAGTTCACTGTATTTTCCTCACACCTCTAGTATAAATGATTTGACATAACGAAACTAACAATAATTATAATTAATGTAGAGTAATAAGTGATTCGTGAATTCTAAATAAAACAATTATTATATAAAAGTGTAAAAGGAAATGTAATTTATTTCCCTATTTTCTTGTTTAAATATTTTATTATTTAGGTCGGTAAACGTATGTTTAATTTCTATAAATAAACCAACTAGTTAGGTGAAACATTGTGATATAAGATTTTATTTATGTGTCCTATGCTTACACTTTAATATACAAAACACCTGGAACATTCTTTAAATAATTGTGGTCGTAGAAATAATTGTGTACATAACTCGTTTGAAAGTGTATTTTATGCACTTGCCAAATATATTATCCATACAGATTAATCAGACTATTTTTTTACTTAACTTCAGTACATATCTTACTACTAAAACTATTTTTATCAATGGAAAAAAGGGCCGTGTTCTCGTATGTTTTGACACATTTTCGGCCTCAGCCCATCGGATCCCCCCTCTAAATATATATATATGAATTTTGCTTAGAATTGCTAATCCTACAATTCTCTATTCGTGCTTGCTGACTGGGAAAATAAATACCGAAAATCGTCACTGTCTCCTGGACTATACAATAGATGATGATGAGAATTTCACAACAAATACACTTTTATGAATGGCTAGTTGGGGATGTGG